TTTCAGATAACTTCTGAGGGTTATTGGTAGGTAAGATTTTGTTTTTAATTAGCAAAGTCAAAGGAATGAAGTGGGCCCTAAACGTGGCAGGGTCAGTGGTAGCTGGAGGTTCTAGCAAGATAAATATTCATAAAATAATGGTCTAATTCCCAAGAACTGAGCAATGAAGTTTTTCTCAGGCCAAAGGTTAAGCCTCTCAGTTCAGTATACCAATACAATAGAACAATAACTAAACACCTCAAACCTTTGTCAATTAAAATGTCAATCTTTAAAGAAATGGATAGTTGACATGGAAAACTTGAGGAAAAAAAGACCAGCAATCTCATCTCTAACACCTATGTTTGCAATAAGGTAATTCACATTAAGAAAAAGGCTTTTTTCCTGGGGCGCCTGGGTGGCTCAGTCGTTAAGCATCTGCCTTCGGCTCAGGTCATGATCCCATGGTCCTGGGATCGAGCCCCGCATTGGGCTCCCTGCTCTGCCGGAAGCCTGCTTCTCCCTCTCCCACTCCCCCTGCATGTGTTCTCTCTCTCGCTGTGTCTCTCTCTGTCAAATAAATAAATAAAATCTTTAAAAAAAAAAAAAGAAAAGAAAAAGGCTTTTCCCCTTACACAAATACAGCAGCAAATCAAGCACTCTTAGACTGGATTTTCAAGAAGATCCAAATGATTTCTCAAAAGTACTGAAAGAAGCTCTTCTGAAAAGTTACTTTGCCTTATGATTGTTATTAAGGCAAAGCATGAGAACATAATATACTACTCTATGATATCACTTCATTTTATAAACTGTATGTTTATAAACTTTATAATTTCTATGGAATAAATGATATTTTAAAAAGATGATATTTAAAAAGAACAAATAATCCAGGCTCCCTTATTTTACAAACAAAACTGAAGTAAAGAGAATCAGACTTACCCAAATTCTCACATTCCCAGCAAGTCCAGGAGACTACAACCTGGGTCTCATAACTCCAGTGCTCTTTTCATTAAACTTGATTCAGATTTTTAAATCCCTTAATCACAGAAAAATAATTCCAAAAAGTTTATTAAGGATACTGTTCAAGTAGAACATTAATAGTTGACTGAAGAGTTGATTAAATATGGTTTTATAGTACTGTTAAATGAAAAGGTAGGTTTTAGGGATGTTATTCCGGGGAAAACATTTTAACTCAGGTTCATTTCAACTTGTGACACCTTTTTATTTTTCAAGATTATAACCAGCCACAAGTACATTTAAAACATGAGTAGATATAAGATGGTATATGTATGTTCTTACTTATGGTTCTTATATATATTTATGATTTTCCCAACTAGAAACACAAGCAAAATTGAATTTATAAAGGATTAACCACTGGAAGTCATCAGAAAAAAATAATAAGCTATTACAATCTCAAAATGAAGGTTATTAAACAAACAAACAAAAATCTTTAGTACCAGAATTTAGGCAATCCCATCAGGTTGGAATTATACTGAGATAATTAAGCCAAGGCAGGGTTAATATTCATCTTCACCAATGTAAACTGAGGAAGAAACATAACTATTTAAGAAACTATTTTCAAGTACTTAATTTGTATATTTAGCATAAACAATATAATCAAAATTAACATCCATTTAACCAGTACATGTTTCAGTTCTTTTATTATAAGTAATGTTGTAGACTGATTTTTTACAATTAAGTTTCTTAGACTTAAAAACTAAAATTTCCCAGGATTCAAAGTCATTAACAGTTTTTAGTTCTTCATACATTTCATTAATTTTTTTAAATGGGGTTACATTAATTTACCTGACAATCATCAATACAAAGTGCTCTTTCACTGCCAGATTGGGTATGGGTTTTCATTTACATTTTTTAAAATAAAGTTATGTTTCCTACCAAGATACATTTTATATTTTAGAATAGCTATCTTTGCTTCATCAGAGTTGCAATATTTTGCCTATTATTTTTTACATAGGAATAAAAATGTTTATGAGTTAAATACATTAATCCTTTGTCATTCTTTCTAGGTAATGTTCCCAGTCTGTGGTTTACCTTTTAATTTTGGTTAGCTGTATCTTCAGGTATAAATAAGACAATTAAATACCTCAATCCCTTCCTTTATAATTTCTTTTGTCGCTTTTAAATTTATAATGTCCTCCTTTCTCAGAGGGTTAAAAATACCTTTCCCCTAGTTTCTGGTTTTTTTATAATGTGATTTTTAGTCAGCGTGTATTTAATTCATCTGAAGTTTATTTTGATAATATTTGAAGGCAAAGATATATATTTTTGAAAATAGCTAGCTAGTTTCCCAACATCATTTACTGAGTTGGTTTCCTATATGTTTGTCTTCGATATAATAAATTGTAAGCCTTACGAATTTTGTATTATTTATCACTGCATTTCCAACATCTAACAATGTGTGGCACACAGTAGGCACTCAATAAGTATTTGCTGAATCAATGAATGAATGATAAATAGTTTATATAGTCTGTTCCATTTGAATTCTCTCATCTTCATTAGTGAAGCTTGATGTTTTTAATAGACTTGACTTTACTAAGGATAAAGCATGTTATATGCATGTGCTAGAAAGCTATGTGCGCTTTTGCATCCATTCTTTTCAATATCTTTCTCCCTTGTATCCCCAAATAGCTAAATTATTTGTATTTTAAGTATCTATTAAACTATATGTATATATACACATATTTAATTTATATATTAAAAATTGTAGTAAGTTGCACCACCAGCTACCCAATGTTTGTCCAGAACCCTACTAGTCATCCTTGATCTGTCCCTCATCACCACCCACCATTCAGTCAATCACCAGACCCTGTGAATTCTACTTCCAAAATATATTTCAAATTTGTTTACTTATCTCCCTCTCTATACCACCACCCCACTATAGATCATTGTCATTAGTCACTTGGACTGCCATAGCTCCTTTCTACATCCATTCAAGGCTCAGACAGCAGCCAAGTTAATCATACTAAAACTTGTTACTTAATGAGATGCATCTCCTTAGAACCCTTCAATAGCTTTCCATTGCTTTCACCATAAAGATCCATATTTTTAACAGAGTTAACAAGACCCCTCAGGATCTGGCCTCTCTCCCTTTATTCTCACCTCAGTCATTTTCACCCTAACTTACTTGACTTTGGCCATGCTGAGTTTATCTTTGTTCCCATTTCTATCTTTTCCTGGCCTTCCAGTCTTAGATTCAATGATATTCACTAAATTGGCCTTTCTTAGCCTCCATACTAGGTTAGAACCCTCTATAAATTTTCATAAATATCTTGTATTTTTTTTCTCCATAGCACTTACCACAATTGTAATTATTAGTTGCCTAATTATTTGCTTAATGGTTATGCCCACAAGGCTAAAATCCCTAAATGTTTATCTTGTTCTCTTCTCATTCTAGAATTCAGCAGTATGTCTTCTTCTAACTATGACTTCTTGCAGATTTTCTCCATGATTTACAAATATTTTGATAAATTCTCATGATTCTAGTACAGGATTTTTAAAAGCTATCTTATACATACTTTTGATAAGTTTACTTTGTACAGACATTATGTCATTTAATGAGGACTAGCCACTGCCCTCAAGAGAACAGAATTCCTGAAAAAGTGAAGTGGACACTTTTTTGTTTTGTTTTTTTCCAGGTTTATTGAGATAAAATTGACATATAACAGTGTGTAAGTTTAAGGTGTATTACACAATTTCTTGTATGTATGTATTGTGAAATGATTACCACAATAAGGTTAACACATTCATCACCTCACATAATTAAAATTATTTTTGTGCTGAGAACATTTAAAATCTACTCTCTTAGCAACTTTCAAGTATATAATAAAGTATTGGTAACTATACTCATCATGCTGGACATTAGATCCCTTGAAATTATTCTTCTTATAACTGGAAGTTTGTACTCATTGACCAACATCTCTCCATTTCCCCAACCCCCTGAAAACCATCATTCTTCTGTTTCAAAGAGTTTGACTTTTTAAAAATTTTAGATTCATATATATGTGAGATTCTAGTATTCTTTGTCTGACTTAGTTCACTTTGCATAACGCCCTCCATGTTTGAAATGGCAGGATTTCCTTCTTCTTATGGATGATTAATATTCATGTGTGTATGTATACATGAGAATATAGTATGCTACATCTTTATCCATTCATCCGTTAATGGACATATCTTGGCTATTATTGCGAATAATACTGCAACGAACATGGGGGTGCAGATATCCCTTTGAGATAGCGATTTCACTTCATTTGGATATATACCCAGAACGGGGATTGCTGGATCATATGGTAATACTAATTTTAATTTTTAATTTTTTGAGATATCTCCATACTGTTTTCTATAGTTGCTGCATCAGTTTGCATTCCCACCAACAGTTCACAAGTGTTGCCTTTTCTTCACATCCTCACCAACGCTTGTTATTTGACACTAGCCTTTCTAACAGGCATGGGATGATATCTCATTGTGGTTTTAATTTGCGTCTCTCTGATCATTAATAATGTTGAACACCTTCTCACGTTCCTGGTGACCGTCTGTCAGTCTGATCTGGAAAAATGTCTATTCAGGTCCTCTGCTCGTTTTTAATCAGATTATGTTTTGCTATTACATTGTATGAGCTCCTTGTATATTTTGGATACTAACCCTTTATCAATATGGTTTGCAAATATTTTCTCCCATTCTGTAGGTTGTCTCTTCATTCTTTTAATTACTTCTTTTGCTGTGCAGAAGCTTTTCAGTTTGATGCACTCACTTGTTATTTTTGCTTTTGTTGCTTACGCTTTGGGTGTCATATCCAAAAAATCTATGCCAAGAATGACATGACAGAGCTTTCCTCTGTGTTCTTTTCTTGGAGCTTTGTGCTTTCAGGTCTAACATTTAAGTTTTTAATTCATTTTGAGTTAATTTTTGTGAATGATATGTATAAGACAGGGTTGATGCTAACTTTAGTTTTGTTTTTTTTTCCAAAATTTTATAATTGAGAATGATTTGATGTGTTTACATTTTAGGACAAGAAATGTGCTTCAACTTCAAATTCAGGCACAGAAGTGAAACCTGAACAATTTCCTCCTTGTGTGAACCCTGGCAATCCTGTGTTTTCATGTATGTTGGACCCAAAGACACTCCATACAGCTACCTCACTATCAAAATCTAAGATGATTATGTATAAAACCAATTCATGTAATTATGGTGAATTTTTACCTATGCCACAGTTTTTTCCCTGCAGTTATACTCCAAGGGAGCAAGTATTTTCAAGCCACATTAGAGCTACTGGATTTTATCAAAATAACTCTCTAAACACTACACCTGATAGAACCAGAACCCTTGACTTTCCTAATTTTCAACATACTCTATGAAAATATATTCCTTTGTATATTTAAGAGAAAGTATACTCAGGAAAAATGAGTTTTAAATCTAAGGCTAGAATACCTAACTTGGAACATAAAAGTATTTGAATTAGTTAAAAGAATACCTTTAAGAAATAAAGCATTTGAACTGATAACTGAATGAAAATAAAAATGTGTTCAAAATAGAATAAAAAGTAGACATGTTTTAGTACATCTTGGCTTTATTTAGTACATGCTCTCCAAAAGTTTTAAAAGGCTTTCAAGATCTCAGTTGTCCACTGAGTATATTCATCAAGACAAAGAAACACAGGAGCACTAAGAAAAAAATTGAATTAAGGAAGACTGACCAGTAATTTCCCAGTTTTCTGTTATTTCAACTAAGGGCTTAGAACCTGGGAGAAAGTTAGTTTCCACTGCTAGGCTAGTAGAAGAAAAGACCTGTTATTCATTCATTCATTTCGCAAATATTTATAGAAGGCCTACTTATGACAGGCACCATACAATGCAAATGAAACACAGAAATAAAAGACAATGTCTTGTATTGTTTAAATGAATAATATTTTAGGGGACTGAGATTAGCAAATTAATAAAATGTGATAATTTCTGTAAAGTACGCAAAAGGTCTTTCAGACACAAAGACAGATTGCTCAAATTCAGACCAAGGACATCAGGAGAAGCATCCTGGAGAAGGTAAAATCAAATCAAAAGAAAGGTCATCCAGGAAGAAGAAGCAATACATATAAGAGTACAAAGATGCTAGAGATGTGGTACTTTTTTTATAAACACAAATAATATGATATATCCTTAACACAGTGTGAGCAGTGGTAGATGATGGACTATACTATTCTTCAAACTCTGTAATTCCACTGTATACAAAGATTTATTTATTTATTTATTTATTTCAGCTGCCATCTGTCATAACCACACTTGAGTCTGAGTACCTTTATGGAAAAAAAAATCACTGTTAGTTTCAGGCTCAGGTTCTAACATCATTAGAAAAATAATCTTGTGAGTTCCTAGGGCATCAGAAAAGTTGGATCTTCTGTTTACAAAAAATGGTTTGATGTGAGGAAATAGCTCAAACTCTGACTCATGAGGATTTCCCAAATACCTCAAAATTTGAGATTTGATAATGACACAAGCAAAAAGAAAAATTAGTTTTGTTCATGTCCTTTAAAACATCAAAAATCCAGAATTGCACAAGATATCCAGGTGAATAAAGCAAATTTAAAAATTTGAGTTTAGTAGCCTCTGCAAAATCTATATAACCTGTTTTTCCCCTTCACTGCAGGTACTCAGTCCGTGGCAAGGGAAGTCAACTTTTTTGTTTTTTAAAGATTTTTATTTATTTGTCAGAGAGAGCGAGCACAAGCAGGGGGAGCAGCAGAGGGAGAGTGAGAAGCAGGCTCCTCACTGAGCAAGGAGCCCGATGTGGGACTCGATCCCAGAACCCTGGGATCATGACCTGAGCTGAAGGCAGACGCTTAATGACTGAGCCACCCAGGCATCCCAGGGAAGTCAACCTTTTAATATTCAGAATCTAGATATTAACCTAAAGTTTCTTACAATGGCAGGTGGCTAGGTCCTTTTTGTTTTGTTGTTGCTAAAATTCTCACATAGGCTATATCTCAGAATTAAGCACATTGTCTGGAATGCCATTATGTAGTCATTTCAGTGCCTGTTAAAGTCCAGGGACTCCTGTTGGCACTAAGAGCCTACCCTCATGGAGCTTAGATTCTAGTAAGTTCTAGGAGGAAAAAAAAGACCAAAAAACATATGCATAGATATATATGTGTGTAAGTATATATACATATTTATGTACTGTAATTATTTATGTTTACACATGTTACATACATGTATTATGTTTTATATACATATAGGCATATATTTACATTTATATACATGTATAGACGTGCATATGTAAATGATATATACATATTTACATGTAAATATTTATGTGTACCTATATATACATATAAAACATGCCAAGTGATAAATGTTATGGGGAAAAATGGAATAGGGTTGGGGGAGAAGGAGTGCTTGGGCAAAGAGTTATATTTGATAGATTGGTCAGGGAAGGTCTCGGATAAGTTGATGTTTGATCACACCCATGAAGGAAGTGAAGGGAGTATCTGGGGAAGGTAGAGCTGTTGTGAGACAATTGAATATGTAGTCTGGAGTTCAAGGGAGAAGTCCAAGTTGAATACAATCAATTGAACAATATACACACAAAGAAATTATCTGAAATCATGAGACTTGATAAGATTATAAAGTATTCATGGAAAAGAGACCTAAGGACTAAGCTCTAGGGAACTCCAACATTTAGAAGTCAGAGGAATGCATCTGAATTGGTCAAGGAGAAGTCAAATTGTCACTCTGCACAGATGACATGATACTCTATGTGGAAAACCCAAAAGACTCCACCCCCAAATTGCTAGAACTCATACAGGAATTCAGCAACGTGACAGGATATAAAATCAATGCACAGAAATCAGTTGCATTTCTATACACTAACAATGAGACAGAAGAAAGAAATTAAGGAATCGATCCCATTTACAATTGCACCAAAACCCATAAGATACCTAGGAATAAACTTAACCAAAGAGGCAAAGGATCTGTACTCAGAAAACTATAGAACACTCCTGGAAGAAATTGAGGAAGACACAAAGAAATGGAAAAACATTCCACGTTCATGGACTGGAGGAACAAATATTGTGAAAATGTGTATCTACACATTCAATGCAATCCCTACCAAAATACCATCAACTTTTTTCACAGAGCTGGAACAAATAATCCTAAAATTTGTATGGAACCAGAAAAGACCCCAGATAGCCAGAGGAATGTTGAAAAAGAAACCAAAGCTGGTGGCATCACAATTCCAGGCTTTAAGCTCTATTACAAGGCTGTAATCATTAAGACAGCACGGTACTGGCACAAAAACAGACACATAGATCAATGAAACAGAATAGAGAACCCAGAAATGGACCCTCAACTCTATGGTCAACTAAGAACAACTAAGCACAACTTTCGACAAAGCAGGAAAGAATATCCGATGGAAAAAAGACAGTCTCTTCAACAAATGGTGTTGGGAAAATTGGACAGCCACATGCAGAAGAATGAAACTGGACCATTTCCTTACACCGCACACAAAAATAGACTCAAAATGGATGAAAGACCTCAACGTGAGACAGGAATCCATCAAAATCCTTGAGGAGGACACAGGCAGCAACCTCTGTGACCTCAGCCACAGCTACTTCTTCCTAGAAACATTGCCAAAGGCAAAGGAAGCAAGGGCAAAAATGAACTATTGGGACTTCATCAAGATAAAAAGCTTTTGCACAGCAAAGGAAACAGTCAACAAAACTGAAAGACAACCAGTAGAATGGGAGAAGATATTTGTAAATGTCTTACCAGATAAAGGGCTAGTACCCAAAATCTATAAAAAAAACTGATCAAACTCAACACCCAAAGAACAAATAATCGAATGAAGAAATGGGCAGAAGACATGAACAGACAGACAGTTCTCCAAAGAAGACATCCAAATGGCCAAAAGACACATGAAAAAAAATGCCACATCACTCGGCATCAGGGAAATACAAATCAAAACCACAACGAGATACCACCACACCAGTCAGAATGGCTAAAATTAACAAGTCAGGAAACGACAGATGTTGGCGAGGATGTGGAGAAAGGGGAACCCTCCTACACTGTTGGTGGGAATGCAAGCTGGTGCAGCCACTCTGGAAAACAGTATGGAGGTTTCTCAAAAAGTTGAAAATAGAGCTACCCTACGACCCAGCAATTGCACTAGTGGGTATTTACCCCAAAGATACAAATGTAGTGATCTGAAGGGGCACCTGCACCCCAATGTTTATAGCAGCAATGTCCCCATAGCCA